GCTGTGTGTGCATGTGTGTGTGCGAGTGGGACTTCTTGTTGTTGTTTTCAATATTCGATGTCGCGCGTTCTCGCTCATGCTGCCGCCCAGAACCGAACAGAGAAATGTTCTATGTGCATATTTGCATTTTGCTTTTGGCGAATGAATCTGCTTTTTGCCATTAACTGCACTCTTCTTTGTTGTCACAGTCGAATGCTCTCGACTTAAGCTCACCCCGAGTTTCGTCGTAGTCATCGTTGTTTGTTTGTCTGCGTATTTTTCGTCGTCGATTCGTAGAGAGCGTGCATTTTACCCAACAACACGATTGAGAATCATAAAGTGTCTCTTCCAAATTATGTGTATCTTTCCGCTTTTTTCTCGTTTCGAGAAGAATAAAAAAAAATAGAGCCAATGACGTAACATCCAACTATATATCACATACATAAAAATCTACACAGTTTGTCTCGACTGCATGTGCATTACTCTTTTTTTTCGCTTTCTCTCTCTTTCGCTTGTTGTTTTTCTCAAATGTTTTTTTTTTCGTGTATTTGAAATGGAACAATCCCAAACCAACAAAATAGTGAAAGATAGAGAACGAAAAATAAAATCACAAATGCACTACCTACCGCACGCTGTATCTCCTGTCTATCGCTTCATTTATATTTCTTCTTCTTCTGTTCTTCCTTGATTTGACTGTCTTTTTTCGTGTATGTGTGTGTGTGCTGTCGTTCGCTTAAAAATTCAGGAATCGAACGTAGACACAGACACATTGGCTTGTGCATTGAGAAATTTGAGCTTGAAAATAAGTTTAAATAAATTTGAATTCTATTTTATTTGTTTTTCGATATGTATATATTTAGTTTCCTTGTCTTTGCGTATACGTTTTGTCTCTCCATTTTCCAGAAGAGTCGTTGGATGTTTTGTTTTCTTTTCGTGTGTGTTTGAGAAAGACGAAATGCGAATCATTTTCATTCCAAGTGCAATGCCATAAACACACATTGAAAATTATTTTATTTGAGGTTTTCGAATCTAAATCTCTCTCTTTCTCAATGGTTTCAAAATGTATCAAATTCAGTGCCATTCAGTGTATCTTCTTTCGCATTCGACTTCGGTGAAATATTGTCTCGAGAACGAACGCGCTTAAGCTGGCATAAGTAATGTGTTTTGTTCACTTTAAACCAAATCCGTCAGTTTTGTTGTATGGTGTTGTGCTCCATGTTCGATTGGTGTCGGTCGCTTCAACGTTTGAGAGCACAAGCATTAACAAAAGATAAAGAAGAAGAAAAACAATCGACATTGAAATAAAATCTAACCAAATTTCTCCGATTCCATGCGGTAGAGACACTCATACAGCAATTGATCCAAACGGCGCATTAAAAGTCACAAAACGATCGATAGATTCATCGGTGAGATGAAATGAAGCAAACTCTGAGCGACAGAGTGCAAGAATCAACAACACAAAAAACGAAAAAATATATATCTATATAATACAAAACCATTGACAGAGAGCGAGAGCAAGAGCGCGCACACCAAAATGCCACAAACATAAATTTTCGATTGAAATTTTATTTCCACTTCTCTTCTCACACTCTCTTGAAGAAGATGAACAAGAACACAAAAAAAAAACAATAATAATACGGCAAATAAATTTACGTTTAAATATGGTCGTTGGTGTGAATATCAAATAAGGGGTTTTTCTGCTCTCATCTACTTCTCTATCGTTGTGCTGTGTTTGAATGCATTGGTATGCGCGCATACGTTTGTTGGTGTTTTATGGCACTTTATCTACCTCTGCAACGGCATGAAAATTAGAATAATACACTTTGGTTTTGGCGTCGTATGCCGAAAATCGAAACCCTGGAAATTGATTGAGTTTCGACAAACGCGAACGAGACCGAAAAAATTCGATGGGACACACATTTCATTGATCGCCGTACAGAGGCGGCACTATGACATTAATTATTTAATGTTGAATTTAAAGACAAAACAACAAAATAAACAAGCAAAAAAAGGTTTTTTCATCGTCTCAATTGTTTCGCTTTCAATCTCGTTTTTCCATCGATTTTTTCTTTCTTCTGTTTGGTTCGAAATGCTGTTCAGATAATGTCGGTTCGATATATATATATGTTCAGTTTATTGTGTATTGGATATGAAAAGATGGTATCAGGTTTGTTTGTTTGTTTTGCTGTTTGCACTAAATTGAGTTGCCATGTGGGCATCGTTTTTTTAAAAGATTGCAGCAGTAGTGTATGTGTTGATGTTTTACTCAATGATCGGATCGGCTCTTCGTACTTATTGCGGGGATCAATTGTTTTGGCCATGTATGTCGTGCTTCATTCATTGTTTTAGGTTCAATAGTCGCATCTTACTAATTGGTAAGAGGATCGCCCCTCAAATCGAAATGTTTCCTTCTTAGTATCCCATATCTTATGTTTCCTGCTTCTATTCGGTTCAAATTTCATGTGGGCTTTCATTGTGTTTGTTTTTGTCATTTGTCCTTTGACGAATTGCAGCATTGAGAAACAAAAAACATGTTCACCATCATAATTGAACGGACTCTGGTCAATCAGTTTTGTTTTTGCACACACGACAGCTAAAGATGTAATCAAGCATAAACGGTACGAATTTGTACATCACCCTGCCTGTTTGTCTCACATGACGAGTGGAACGAGAGAAAAAAACATGTGCAATTCATGGTTGATATTGTCCAACGTACCGAAATTATTAATTCACGAGTATTGTTGGATTTTTTTTTTGCGTTACTGATGACATCGTCCACTTCCTGCATATATTTGTGGCAAAAAAAGGACATGTACAACTGACAAGATGTTTTAACCAGAAGGTATTTAATGTAAAATTCAATCAATTTTTTTCTGAGTTGTACCTCAACCCATTTCCCATTGAAGGCAAAGAGATGCCAAAGACAAAACGATATTGGATAAAAGGATATGAATTACGTATATCGAATGCATTTCATATAAATCTATAAGCGCTAAGCATGTAACCCATCAACAGAGTTCGCACAATGAAGCGCAATCGAGAAAGAGAGAGAGAGAAAGAGCAAAAGGCAACAGCGCAGAAACAGTATAAGACATTGGATATTTAATGGAAGTAAATATAAAAGCCAATAACATGTGAAATTAGATTAACTTAACTATCCATAAAAGGTTCCTAATTAAATATACATAAATTACGAAGAGCAAAAGATATAGACTGTGTGTGAGAGAGAGAATTGGACGGGCAAATGTAGATATGACCAGCTCACACTCAAGACCGAGCATATATCGATTAAATATGCATGGTGAGAATGAAGTGAATGCGACTCGTTCGTAGATCCAAATGCGTGTATGAATCACCAACTGGCACTGCAGCGACATGGATGGATTGAAATTTTATTATTTCGATTTTGGTATGTACGCATTTAATCGGTTATTTAGCATGCTTGTCTTTTTTTTGCTTTCTCATAATGTGTCAAAGGAGATGATAAAGTATACACAACGATATGAAGAAAAGGTTCACTTCATTTTTGGCTTTATCATTCCGAAAAAATTATTTTTGGTGGTAATTTGTTACTTTTATATATGATTCAACGATGCCGTTCGTGTGTGTGTATCATTTTGAATTAGTTGTGTTCAACTTGATGCAATTGCCTGATCTTTTGCTCGTTCGCTCAGATTGAAAGACAACATGAACGAATCATTATGTGCCACATTATTATCCACAGTGGAGTATGTGTGGTCTATGGTCTATATGTGACTACATAATTTGATTTAATTGCATTATGTTGAAATGTTGCTCTCTCTCTCTCTCGGTGTGTTATGTGCTCATGTGTCCCGTCAACTCAAGTTCAGCTCGCGAGGTTTTTTGCTTTATTCTTTCTTCGTTTGCTCGCATTTGCTGATGAAGCGCATAACTCGTGACATCGTATGGGAAATGTCGTACGTCGCGGAACCCTTAATTTAATATATTAAATAATATAATTCTTCTTCTCATGCGAAATTCACTGAATAATATAACATTCTGGACTGAGTGAATGCCGTCATAGTGACAAAGTATGTATGAGTTTTTCGCAAGCAAAAGAAAACATTTTCTAAATCTAATAAACGATAATTCAAATGAATTTCCATGCAGCCACAATTTTCCAAAAACTAATTATCAAAAAAGCGAAGAAAAACGGTCTCAAACTCGATGCGAGGCCACCGAGACACAAATTAAACGTATAATAAATAACGATTACAGATAAGCTAATGTCGTCATTGACGTTTTTATGGCAATTTAACGGGAATTCGGTAGAAGAAAAAAATTTGCTTTGATTTGCTCGTATTTGTGACCGTTCAGCAAAATCACAATTAACCAACAACATCAACCAAAACTGATTCAAGCCAATTTTGCGTTTCACTTACGAAAAATAGACACTTGAACATTGTTGTTTGTTCCACATTTTATGTTTGATAATAAATTGATATTAATAGGCGAATGCGAATGCCAATTCACAAAACCACCAAGTGTGATTTTTGACCGGACATACCCCGATGAAGACGAACGATTGCGTGCAAATGACAATTTAGCCAAAAATGTAAAGGAAGAAAAGAGAGATTTCACGCACACACACACACACACACACACATAAAATCACTGACAAATTGACATGTATCCTCTGGAATTGTGTGACACATTGAGTGAAATGTGCGTGCAAATGCCTCAACCAACCGATATCGACATCAATTCAATTGCACAGAGTCCAATTGAAAAGTGCGGACTGAGTGGCCCATGGTGTGTTTGATAGATAGCCGCACAAGTCAACCCCATCTTATCAAATAGACGCTGTGTGTGGTCGCTCTTATTCCCATACAATTTTCTCCCTTTCTCTCGCTAAATGTCAACTGATTGCACACGATTTACACATTCTACATGTGTGTGTGTGTTTTTATGCTCCTCTCTCATTCTATTCTAATCTAATTAATTCAATTAATTGTGCGATAATAATAGTAACTAAATAGAGTATTTGTGATTATATTAACCTCGTCCGATGCCGCCACTGCGAACAACACCGCATAGTACTCCGTTGTCACGACACTCCATTGTTGTATCATATTCGTAGGAATTCATATTGCACGCACACGCGATTTCACTATTATAAACGTACAAAAAAAAAATAATAATAAAATAAAACTCGTGTCTCTTCTTGCACACGAGCTTCCACTTGATTTTCCGATTTTTGACTTTTTTTTCTATTTTTGTTCGTTCGGCTGATTCTATTACACCTCCACTGTATTTAATTGCTTTTTATTGAGATTATTGTACGTTGTCATTTGATTGAAATGTATATGGTTGATTTGTTTATTTAGTTCGCCATATTTAACGATTCAAAATGAGTTCAACAACAAAAATTGTCTTTCATTTCGAAGATTTCACTGAAAAAATCTCTCTTCGACGCGATTCTCAAAATAAATTGCAGAAAAATCATAAACGCTTTAAATTGAAACGAAAAAAAAACTAAAAGTTTATCACAATCCTATGAAGATGAATTTTGTTGCTTTGGATCTTTTTTCGGTTCATTATAATCTTTGATACGACATTCGTTTCGAATGTGTACCGAAACTGGAAAAACGTTGTGTAAATAGAATTGTTCGTGGTTTTTTTTTCTGTTTTTATCTTCTTCTCTGTTTCAAAGTCTAAATTTGAGTCAGCACGCGGTATCATATGCCAAATCTATTTTTGGATTTTGTTGTCATCATTCACTTTTCACTGAATATTGTATGGACGATTGTGTGGACGCGGTGTCGATCTCGTGTTTTGTCTTTTTCGTGTTTCTGTTAAAGACAACCGAGTTTTTTCGAAACGTGTGCATTGCAAATCACATTTTTTTTATTTCATTCGCTCTCCTCTATATTTCATCCCAACAATGATAATATTTATATCGTTAAACTGCAAAAATTAAGCAAAGAAAAAAGAAAACATAAACATCAATTATACAAATCAATTTAAAACAAATTAAAACTACAGGCATTACAGAAAATTTCATTCGAAATAACTCTGATCGCAGTCAGGGCCATTTTCATAGAATTTTCTTTAATTGGTTTAAAAACTAAAATGGCTTAATGTAAAAAAAACCGAAATTATTTGAGGGGTAAACAACTGAATAATCAAAATATTGTGGAATTAACCAAAATGACCAAAGGATGATGCAGCTGAAAAGAAAAAATAGCATCGATTCCATGAAGTCACTCGAACCTTTGACGCATATCATTTTTCTTTTCACTCGAAATAGAGAGTCGAGTGTTCATCTCATGCTCACAAAGATACATCCGTATAATTGCATTGAATCTCATTAAATAACACGAAATCCTTTTCGCGTGGGTTAAATAAATCCTTCTGATTTTGACCAAACACAACCAAAACGAACAACAAAAATACAGCCGTTTCATACACGACCGCTTCGTTGTGATTGCCTTTAATATATATATATATATATTTCTGTGAGTTTGTCCTGGCTGATGAAAAAAATAAACGCACAATGATGACGAAAAAACGCTCACATAATGTGAATAGAATCGCTTCTAGACATAATTAAAAGTTTTGCTGGTGTGTTTTTTTTTTTCTTCATTAGCAGAGGGGAAATGATGTAAGCTGACTAGATTCCCGCACGCTACAGAACGGAACCTTTTTTTATTCTCTTTCTCGGAATCCATAGATTTCCTTTTCACTACGATTACGATTTTTATATTTATACGCTTGAAATTAAATGAAACTTTGCGTCTATGCTGCGCCACTTATTCAAAAAGATATGTATATTCATTTTTTTGTATGCGCTCTCACTCTCTCTAATTCCTGCAATTGGTTTATGGAACTAACGGCAAATGATAAAAGCTTCAGGCAATGAACATTTTTATGTGTTAAACGCAAATAAAAGGCTTTCAAACATTTTTTTTTTCGTTGCCTTTCAAAACACAAACCAAAATGAAATATTCTCGTAATGAGAAAGACTGAACTACAGCAAGGCTGTTGCTTCCTACGCAAATCTTATCACTTTGTATTCGGGTTTTTTCTCTCTTTATATCATAATTCATAATAATTCAAGAAACGAATTTGGATAATTGTTGTAGAAGGGGCTAAACGACCGAATCATTTTTGTACGAGGTAAAATGTGTTGAATATCGGATATGCCACATCCGGAATGCGCGTATTCACAAGAAAAAAGAGTTTCGCGTGCGCGCGATTCATAATTTTTTTTATCAAAATGCAATAGATGTCAAAATTGATACATCATTTTTTGGGGTATGGAAGTATATTTTTTTTTCTTTTAATGTGTGATTTGAGCAGGGACTGTTTCTCTGAGCAATATGTGTAAAGAGCGGCACCTTGAGGATCTGAAAGAGTTCTGAGGAATTTTGTTCTAACTTTTAATATTTCGCTTCTTATTGAGGAGAAGCTCTTCCCCTCAGAGCACTCCTCACCATATTTCTTGAGAAACAGTCTCTGGCTTTGAGGTTTTTGTAAGAATCGAAAATACATTGATTGTATTGAGAGTAATGTTCATTGTGTGTCTTCCATCCAAATGCAATGTAATTTCGATAAAATCGAATAAATACAAAACCACATTTTTTTGCCTACTAAGTACTTAAATTCTCATCGAAAGTTAATTTCTTCAAAGAAAATAGAATGAAATTGCGAAAATTGTATAACTTTAATATACAAGCAAATAATGCTTTTAAAAAAACGGTTCAAGGTCTGAACGAAATGAGGAAGAAAATCAGCTTCAAATGAACATCATTACTACTCAAGTGATCACTTATTTACGCATTTCTGTAGATCAATGAAGATTAGCCCATCATCAAATACACTGGTAAAAATTGAAGAACATCAACAGAAACAAAATAACTTCATGTATATTGTATTTCTGAAATTGGACCACTCAAAATCCACTTGAACATTTCTTCGCATTGTACTCGCATCTTACGTGTATATATTGCTGACTACTAATAATGAAATTCAGTTCAATGCAATCGAACAACCGAAACAAAGAAAAAACTAACGTACAATTTTGCACTCGAACAACCAACGAACGATTCAATTCTCGTTTCACTCATCTCTCTTCCACGCATTTTCACTGATTTTGATGTTCGACTTTAAAGTTGCGTTCTTCTTTTTTCCCTTTAAATCCCATTTAGGTACGTTTCATTTTCGGCTAATACCGTGTTTAAAAATATATTATTTCTGGTTATTATAAACACATCAATTCAAATTACACAATTTTCATTTTCACATCGTTCATATTGGCATCGGTTGATTTCTTGATTCTCTCTTGATCTTACATTTGCGGTTTGAATGAGAGTTCTTTCTCTCTTTCGGTTTTGACACTTGTTTTTTGTTGTTCGTGTACGCGCGTGTATGTTTCTCTGTTTTTTTTTCGTTTGCCAAACATGCTTTTTTTACCGATGATGTGCAGATTAATTTTTTTGTTCTTTAGAAGAAAAAAAATGTGTATATTTTTGGGTAAGCAAATGGTGATTGATGGATTGATGAACTGGAATGGAGACGGAAGTGTAATTGAATTGGTTGTTTACAAAATATAAGCAAAAAGATGCGTTTTGTAATTGCACGATAACGACATGGGCGAACAACAAACAAAAAAAGGTGCGAATAATTGCTTCTTTTCAACATGACGGCACATAGGAAATTCGCACGAAAGAAATGGTTCGAGAAAAAAAGGGGCACAAATCAATGAGAAAATTCTATGTTATTCACACTTTTATAGACAACTTTCCGCTTTCCTATTAATTCAATGTCCAAAGTTTTTAATTTGTTTAGCATTCAGTTTGTGTGCGCTGTTTTTCTTCTTCTTTGATTTTGCGAGAAAAAATTAAACTCGCTTAATTCAAAGAAATCTATTTTTTTTCTGCAATTGAAACGCACAGTGAACCATAAAGTGACAACAACAACGACGACGTCGGCGATGTCAATAGCAGCATCACAGGCACACATTAACACATTTAAAGTTCACTTTTGAAAAGGGTTCAAAATGAGATTTTTCCACTCGCCGGAGTTTTCGCCAGCGCAAAAAATGAATGCAAAAATTTTGCTTCGATGGAAGAAAAAAACCGAATCGAATGAATCACGTTTGTTGTTAATAGAATGCTTATTAAAATCTCGCGTTTCTTTTTCTCCATCAGTATCTTTGTGCCTGTTGTTTTTTTTTTTTCAAGAAACCGACAAGTATAGATATATCGTTTGAAATGTGCCGCTAATTTAAGTGTTCGCTCATAAATTCACCGAAATGGTCGGGCAATTGTTCACACTCGTATTGCAAAGGCCAACAAATTCAAACGAAGTTGACATAAAGATTTCCCTAAATAGCCGAAAATGAACACCAAAACACATACATCGATTGGCCGAACGGCGACAGCCAAAATTGTATTAACTTTTCATAAATCACAATGCCGAAAGGTTTAAAATTGGATTCAAAGTGCGTGCGCGTCGAACGCAACGGACACGCGCATTCATTGTGATTGTCACGGTGCTGCAATACGAAAGTAAAACGCACCAAAACAGAAACGATGGAGAAAAAAAAATGTGTTGATGAAATTCGTTTAAAGTTTTATACGTTTTCGAAGAATTCAATCGCAAAGCGAAGGGCAAAAACAAGACCAACAAATTCCTATTTATTATAAATCGAACAGAGAAAGAGTGAAAGAGAGAAGGAAACGCGCTAAGCATTGGACACGCATTTAATCTACATATTGGTTAAACCATTTTTCGCCTTTATTCTTTTTCGCTTGTGTTTATTACATTCTTCTTTGTTCTGCTGTCGATTCGATTCGATTTGTGTGTGTGTGTGTTTTATTCTTTTTCCGAAGCGAACAATAAATGTAATTGTTTTGCAATTTTTTTCTTATACGCAAATAATAAAGAATTCTTAAGCCATATGAATGGATAAAGGCAAGAAAAGATACATGATGCTAATATTGGCCATGAATGCCATAAGCTACTCACATCTTGGGCGTGAAAAAATCTCTCACTGAAGAAAATGAATAAAACGAAGAATTTATATTCCAGAACAAAATAACCAAATCAGTGGAAGAACAAAAAAATACGAGGCAAATAAGTAAAACACACACCGAAACATGTTGAGGGTACAATATAGTATTCATACAAGGTATGTCGAAGAGTTGGATGATTGTGAAGACGGCAACATCACAACATAATCGACACAATGATCACTGCAAACATTCGAACAGAATAAACACATAGTAGAACGATGGACATGAGAGAAAAAAAAACGCCAACAAACTGAAAACTCTGGTACGAACAGAGAGAATATAGAGTTGAATAAAGAAAGAAAGAAAAAACACACCACGCCAAACAAAGTAAATAATCTTTGGAACGGATTGAACATTGTTACGTGGTTATTGTTGTTTTCGTAGTGGCACGGCACTGAGAATGATTTGTGCTCAAGTGTGAGCACTTGATCTATGGTCGCGACCGATACGATTCTCATCGCAGTATCAAGCATGAACAAAAAAAAACATTCTTAAGCAACCTCAGAAGTTTTTATCTTTATTTGTACTTCGTAATGTATGTGTGGTGGAAACGCAAATTGCTATATTGATTCGCGCATTACATTCTATGCTATTGTTGTAGTTTTTTTTTTTCGACAAACACAATTCTGTATGAATGAATGTAATTTGCATGGGCTATTTTAAAACCCAAACTCATTAAAACTATTATATGGAAAACATAAACATTTGAAATGACAAAAATTTCAAACGGACTGGCTAATTGATTCTTTTTTATCGCCACTAAAATGCATCTGCATATAAATTGTGCAGCATTTCATTCATAGCGTAGGAATTTATGATTATTTTTTTCCACTCGTTATTACTATTATTTTTTCAACGTTAATTGCAGTCAACTGCATTTCCTTCCTT